CAAAGGGGGGGGCCTTGGACACAAGGGGGCGGGGTTTGAGACCTTTTTTGTTAGGGGGGGCGGCTTTGGCGGCTTTTGCCACCCACCGGCGAAAAAATTACCCCCCCTTTTTCCCTTCCTTTCCCCTTGCGGCACCCCCCCCCCCCCCCTCCCTCCACCGTCGCCGCTCAGCCTCCCCCACGCACCCTCAGGCTGGCGCCGCGCACCTTCGTCCGCTGCCGGGCAGCGCCGGGGCGCAGGCGGCGCTGCGCCTGGCCGAGGCCGCGTGCTGGCGCCTCCCGGGCTCCGCGACCCTAGCGGCCCAGCGGCTGCTGGCTGGGGGCGGCGATGGCGTCGCCGCGGCGGCCACGCGTTTCGAGCTGAGCCGCGCGTCTCCTGTGGCCGCCTCCGCCTCGCTCGCCCTGCCCGCGGGCCTGTCTTCCAACCGCGATGCTCCGACCCCCGCGCGCGTCGCTGCCCCGAGTGCCGCCGAGCCGGCCTCGCGCGAGGCTGCTGCGGCCTCCGCGTCGAGGGCCATCCCTCGGGCCATCCCTCTTCCGTCGCCGTCGCGCGGCCCGGCGCCGCTCTGGGAGAGGCTGGTTCGAGGGAGGGAGAAGCGGAGCGGGTCGCAGGAGGGCGGGCGGCAGGGCGGGCGGCAGGGCGGGCGGCAGGGCGGGCGGCAGGGCGAGGCCAGGGGCGAGACTCCGGCCCCTCCGCGCAAGTCGACGCCCGCCGCCCCGGGAGCGGCCGGCGGGGCAGGCCGAGGCATGGGCCGCGGGCTTGGCGGCTGCCGGCTGACAGCCGCGCTCGACGGAGGCGGCGCTGCGGCGGTGGCTCTGCGCTCGCCCGCCGTGGAGGTGTGTGTGGGGGCGACGGCGGGGGAGCGGGGAGGCCAGGAGCCCGACCCCGCGCGTGCCCGTCCGGTGCAGGTCGCGCCCGTGCTGTTGCGTGCGATGACTCGCCGGCTCGAGCTGCCGGGCGCAAACGCGAGCGCGGTGTGCACCGTGAGCGCGCGCCTCCGAGAGGGAGGCGGCGCGGCGGGCAGGGCGGTCGCGCCGGGCGGGCGCGGCTCGGCGGGCTGGGGCTCGCTGCTGCGAGGCGTGGACGGGCCATGGCTGGGCGGGAGTTTGGCCTGCGGAGGGGCGCACGAGCAGGCGTCCGTGGCGGTCCACGCGAGGGTTGCTGCGGGGCGGGTGGGCGCTAGCGTGTCCGGCGGGGTCGTGCGCCTCGGCGGGCCGGAGGGCGGCCGCCGGGGCGGCCGCGCGGGCGGGGGCGCCGCGAAGAGCCGCGAGAGTCCGCGTGCGTCCCCCGCCCGTCCCCTGGCTGCCTCGCTCGACCGGCGGCTGCAGGCTCGCCTCCAGGCGGCGCCGATGTGCGAGACGCGCGCCGAGGCGGCGGCGAGGGAGCTCATGCTCGGCAGCGCCGCCCCTCGGCTGCCCCGCTCTTCGCTCCCTTCCACAGCGGCTCCAGTACCCTTCCCGCGCCCCGGGCGAGGGACGGCGACACAAGCGCCGCCGGGGCGGCGGGCGGGCCGCGAGGGCGGCGCGGCGGCGGCGTCGCGCGCCCGCGGCGCCGCGAGCCGAGCCGTCGCTCCCTCGGATTGCGGGCAGGCGCTCACCCGCCACGCCGCTCTCGCTGTAGGCGAGGGTGCGTCTTCGCTCGCTTTGCTGCCTCTCCTCGCCCGCCTCTCGCTCGACGGCGAGGAGAGGAGGTGGACGGGTACGCTCGGCTGGCGCCGCTCAGCGGAGGGAGCGATCTCGAGCACCGAGCTGCGTTGCGAGCCGCGCCGCTGGCGGCTGCTCCGGCTCCTCGACGCGCGGCGGCGCGACGGGCGGACCGGAGCCGCCAGTTCGAAGCGCCGCGGAGGAGAGTGGAGCTGGACACACAGTGTCGGTGTCGCGGCGGTGCGGGTGGGGGGCGGGGAGACTGCCGGCGGGGCGGGGCAGGAGGGCCCGCCTGGCGCGCGGCCCCCCGGCGGATCCACCCGCACGCCGCTCCCCGCCCAGCCTCCGGCACCCTCCTTGGGCGCGGGCTCTTCGCCGCAGCACGCGCTTGCCCAAGGCTCTTCTCCGCCTCCCCCGCCACCATCCCCGCCCTCGGACTCCGCGGAGGCGGCGAACGGCGCCGCCAGCCCCCCCGCCGCTTCCGTCGCCCAGCGGGGGCCCGAGTGGGGGGGGCTCGAGCGGGGACGCCTCTCCAGCGCGCACGCCGCCCAAGGCCAGCAGCAGGCGCTGCACCACGCCGTCCTCGCCGCCCCGAGGGGCGGGGCGACGCCGCCGTCGCCAGTGGCGGGGGCGTCGGAGGGGGCGGCGCAAGGCGGCGCGCCCACCCTCGAGCCGCCCGCCGCGCCGCTCGCCCCGGCGCAGTCGGCGAGGTCGGCGCGAGTCGCTCGAGCTCGGCGCGAGTCGGCCAGCGGCGAGCTCTCTGCGGAGCTCTCTGCTTGCGTGCGACTCGCGCGCGCGGAGGAGCCTCCGCGGCCGCAGGCAGAGCGCAGCCTTGGCGCGCAGCCGGCGATCACGGGGCTGACCCTCGACGCGCGCCTCCGCGCCGCGCTAGGGCGCCGCCGCAGCGGCGGTGGCGGCGGCGCAGAGATGATCGTCACTCAGAGGGTGAGCCCGCCCCGTCTCGCGGCGCACAGAGCCCAGCGCCACCTCGCGTCTTGCCCGCCTCGGGATGGCCTCACGCCCCCCCTTGCCCCCCCCCCCTTCCCCCCCTCGCGGCAGACGGAGCTCGGCGACGCTGGCGCCGTCGAGCTGCAGGCGAGCTTGCCGCTCGACCGGGCGGCCGAGTCCGGAGACGGCCGCCGTGCGTCGACGGCTGTGCGCGCGGGCCTCTCCATAGCGCTCTGAGCGAGCCGCATGAATGAGAGCGCAGGCCCTTTCAGGGCCGCGCGGGTCCAGGCCCGAGTCTCCTGCATGTGTATGTCCCCAGCATGACTCCTCTCTCCTGCGCCTCGTGAGTCGTGTACCGTTGGCGCGCGGCACACACCGTTACGGTGACACCGACGTGTGCGCGGGTGTGTGTTGATTTGCATGAGCGCTAGTATCTTCCATGTGGTGTGGGCGTGGATTACATCTTCCACGGCATCGGCTAGAAATAAATACATTCGGTCCAATCCTCTCCCAGACACGGCAGGGGGACTCGCGGGGGCGGAGCTCGACCTCGAGCTGCAGTTCGCTCGCGTCAGCCCGACCATGCATGCCAGCCTATCAGCACGGGTAGCAGCACCAGCGCCGCCATCTGACGAGGCGGCAAGCGCAGCTGCGCGACTATCGCCGCCCTCCAGGTGCCCGAGCTGCAGCCCACCGCCCAGAGGAGACACGTCGTCGCGACGACGGCGGCTGTAGCGACGAGCTTCCAGACTGCCGCGACGCACCGCTCGGGCGACGAGACGTCGAGGGCGCCGATGGCTGCGCCGATGTGGGCGGCGGAGGCGCCCATCCGTGCGAGAGCCGGCGCTGCGACCGCGTCGACGCCGCCGTAGTCTGCCACGCCGGCGAGGAGGAGCAGCGTGGAGTACAGGGCGAGCGCGGCAGCCATGAGGAGCGGCGCCGTGGAGTGCACCACTCCGTCGATGGCCACCGCCGCGCCGACGGTGGAGAGCTGGAGAAGCCGCTGCCGCACCCACGGCAAGGCCCTCGGAGGCAGCGGCGGCGGCTCCTCTGTGGCTGCCTGCTCCGTCCCCGCCGTGGCCGACGCCTTCGCCGCCGCGGGGCTGCGAGGGCGGGGGCGGCGGCTGTAGATGGCGGGCGACGAGAGCGGTTCGCGCTCCCACCACTCCCCGCGCTGCAAGAGCGCGGCCAGGGAGGAGAAGCGATAGACCCACAGCCGCGCGCGAATGGCGGCTGGACCCACCACGCCGTAGGCCCGCCCCCGCACGCTCGAGTTCCGCCGCGGGCGCCGCAGCGCGCCGCGCGCCCGCGTCGCGAGCAGCTGCACCGCGTCCGCGTCGCCGTCGAGCAGCCTGCGGACGAGCTCGAGCACGAAGCCGGGCAGCTGCAGCTCGACGAGTGGCGGCGGCTCGCCGCCCGCCCCGCTCGCCGCCTCGCCGACCGACTCGAGACGCGCCGCGACTGCGGACCAGACCTGCCAGCGGCGGGGGGAGGGGTTGGAGACCGGCGCCCCCCCCGCCCCCCCTTGCTCCGCTCGCAGCAGCTGCCTCCCACGACAAGCGGTGGTGCAGCGGCGAGCTCCAGCGGGGAGCGGCGCGCAGCTCGCCGGGCAGGTTAGCGAAGCTGAGCGGCGACCACCGCACCTCTCCGCCCTCCGTCTTGCGGCCGAGCGCGTCACGGCCGTAGTCGTCACCCGCCCCGACGCGCGCCACGAGGGCGTCGGGCAGGGCGACCCTGCCGTCGCAGCGCGGCACGCCGCAGGCGAGCGGGCACGTCGCGCGCAGCTTGTCGGTGCTGCACGCGCTCGCCCGCGCGAGCTGCGCGCAAGTGTACGAGGCGCCCCTCTCGTCCTTGCCGACCGGGCCGGGCTGGTCCGTGCAGCGGGGCGCGGGCTGGTGCGGCGCGAGCGCGGCGCGGAGCGGCTCCTGCTCGAGGAGGGGGTCGTTCGAGTAGTCGAGGGCGAGGGTGACTCGATGCGCGTGCACCTGCCGAGGGGCGCCGGGCTGGTCAGGGGGAGGGGGCCGCCTCGAGGACGGCCGCAGCTGCCCTCTCCCCGAGCGGACCGCGTCGCCGCCAAAGCTGCCGCTATAGGCGTTGACCAGGAACCAGCGGTCGTAGTGCTGCGGCTGCGGCGCGGGCGAGAAGAGCGCAGCCAGCGGAGGCAGCGACTTGACGCAGACGAGGCCGAGGAGGCAAGCCTGCACTGCTGCGCGGCCGCGCCGGTAGGCAACGCACGCGCCGCGCCGGCACGCTCGCAGCGCCCCGCCGCCGCCCGCCGCCGCCGGCCCGGCGCCGCCACCTCGGCGCCGCCTCGGACCGGCCATGGAGGTGGATGCGGTGGAGGCAGCAGTGGCTGCCGAAGCTGGCGGCTTCGGCCTCGGCGGCGGCGGCGCGGCGGTGAGCGCGGCCGCCTGTGCGGCGGCGGCGGCGGCGGCGTCCGCCGCTGCGGCGCCGAAGAAGGGCGCGAGGGCGGCGTCGTCGAGGAGGGCGAGGGCGGGGACGAGGGCGGCCCAGTTGGCGAATCCAACGTTGCCGCTCGCCATCGAGCCCACCTGCGAGGGCCGGGCACGGGGAGAGGTGTTGGAGGGGTGGTGGTTGGTGGAGGAGGAGCTGGGAGGGGCGAGGCGCGCTGGGGCGCCAGCCTGGACGCCAGCCTCGATCCAGAAGGTCGCGAGGCGCGCGGCGCGCGACGGCAGCAGCGCCGCGAAGGGGGCGAGGATCAGCGCGGCGAGAGAGACGGCCGCCTCTGCCGCGCGCCACCTCGCAGGCATCCCGTGCAGCAGCCAGGCGAGGGGCGTCGGCATCGGCTGCGTCTCGTGGTGCGCCGCGGCGCAGTCGAGGCGCCGCCAGCAGGAGGGGGAGTGGTCGGCGAGCCGGGAGAGGCCGGCGCCGAGCAGGAGGCGGAAGAGGTGCCACCGGAAGAGGAGGAGCACCGCGGAGGGGGGCGGGAGCAGCCGCGGGTACAGCGTCGAAGGAGGCCACTCGGGCGCGAGGAAGATGGCGAGGAAGCCGAGCTCCAGCGCGGCCCACTCCCAGCTGTGGGCCGGGAGGAGGCGCGAGGCGTTGTTGACGAGGGAGAGGTGCAGAAGCCAGAGGCTGGCGGGCAGCGGCGCCCACAGCGCGAAGCGAGGCCCTCCGAAGGCGAGGAGGAGAGAGAGCAGCAGCCCACACAGGGAGGCGAGCTCGACGCGCGCGTCGGCTGAGCCCACGCCGGCGGCGGCAAGCAGGTCCAGGGCCGGCGTTGGTCCCGAAGAGCCGGTCGCGGGTGCGAAGAGCCCTCTCGCACCGAACAGCGCCCGTCCTTGCATCGCGCTCGAAGCAAAGGCGAAGACGTAAAGAAGGCCGATGCCGCGGAGCAGGGCGACGCGGGTGAGCCAGTATTCGCCGGTCCTGCCAATTCGCGGCTCGCACAGCACACAGGCAGGGAGTCCAAACAAGAGGACGACGAGGGAGCCGCAGACGGGCGCAAGACGAAAGAGCTCCTCCCGTGTTAGCTCGGACCATCCGGCGAGGTCAGGCGGTGCTGGCACCGTGGCAAGGGCATCGGCGGCGAGGCGGAGCAGCTCTGGCAGGTCGGCGGTGAGGGCTCGGTGGACTGCGGTGTACAGCGCGGCCGTGTGGGAGGCGATCATCGGCTTTTAAAATTCTAAAAACCCTGGTTAGTCGCGCAGAGGGGGTAGGACCGGAGCACCTCCGCGGCCGGCTGAGGGGCTAGCTCGCCCGGCGACAAGCCCAGCCATCGGACTCTCCCATTCTGTAGCGTCAAAGCGCAGCTGCCTCGTGGCTCGTGGTGCATGGTGCATCCTGCCCGCTCCTCCGCCCGCAGCTACCGGTACGCTGCTGGCGATTGATGTTGCACGCGCATGCCCACCCTCACGGCACCCACGCCATACCCGCGCGCTGACAACACTTCCTGTGCAGACCCCCTAGTGAGCCTGTTTTTGTGTCTGTGTGTCGCTCGTGCTCTGCGTGCCGTCATCATCTGTCCAGCGTCCACCCATACCGCGTTGGTGTCCAGTCCGAGCCTGGATGTTCTTCACCTTCCTACATACATACATACATACCGTCGGGTACTTATTTTAAATGAGGTAAACAGCAATAGATCCGGGTGCAGTGCCGGATCAGTTCCTGGAGCCAGGGGGACCGATTCGCGCTTGCCAAGGGACCAATTGCTGGAAGCCTGCGCAGCCTGCGCTCCGGCCGGCAGAGGGCTTGCGACCCGTGGCAGGGTGACAGCCCGCCGGTGGGCGAGCCAAACTCTGGCGGAGGCAGCCCGCTCAGCCCCAGGCGCCCCTCGAACCGGAGGGTGGTCTGCCGCCGCTGCGCGGTCGGCGCGCCGAGGGCGGGAGACATGAGCTTCGCGCCACAGGTGACCTGGGTGGGTGGGGGACCGATTCTCGGCAAGTTTGGCAGGACGGGCACTGTGAAGGATCGATTGCTGTACAACGAGGGACCGATTCCGTGAGGGCTGGGTATCGATTAGGCCGCTTCAGGGCCGGATCTATTGCTGTTTACCTCATCTTAAAATAAGTACCCGACGGTACATACCCCCTACCCCCTCCATTCGGGCGTTTAACGGACGTCTCTAGTGAGCAGCGGTTAGGCGGCTCCCGTGGTGTACCTGTGTTTGTGCCAGTGCGCGCCAGTCCCGTGCCCAGCGTGCGAGACCGAGAGAGTTTTAGCCACGCCACCCCCATCCCCGACCCCCCGACCCCAAATCCCACGATGCGAAAATTCGGAATTCCACCTGCACTGGCATAAATTTTTTTTGAGAAAAGAAAGAAAAAACACACACCCCAAGGGAGGGATGGGAGGACGGCACGCCGCCACCACACAGGGATTTTAAGGAGAGGAGTGTGGTGCTAGCCGTCGCCCACCCTCGGGCGTCTACCACTTTTTTTTGAGAGCGCCTTCGTTGTTAATAGTATAATAAAGGGTGTCCTAAGGGCTCTGCTCGCAAGGCGCCCGCGTCGCAGACGCGGTACCATTGACAAATCTGCAATATACCCCCACACGAGCAAATAGCAAAATCCGAATACCGTGCACAAATCCGGCGATGTCGGACGCAAGCCTTCAGCTGGTGCCAGACATTCGTAAAATTGAAGCCAAGAACGGCCAAATCCGTGCTTTCGGAGCAACTGAGGGAAAGCCGCTGATCGAGCCCAGCGTGCCCGCGGCCGCCTCCCGCGCAGCACCGCCGCTGGGGACGACACGCTGCGGATTCGGATCGAGCCCATGGAGGAGGAGGGCGCGGTCGGCCAGCGCAGCAGGCGGAGTCCCTCCCCGCGCCGGAGCCCCCTGGGGAGTCCTCGTTGGCGATGAAGGTGGCGACATCGAATCGCGGCCGACACACGTCACGTGGGAGGAATGGGCGATGAGCGGGAACGATGCGCGCCACGACGCCGACTCCGCCGTGCTCGTGGCCGCCAAGCAGAAAGCCGCGCTCCAGGAGCACGCCAAGATGCAATGGCTCGCTTGCTTCGATTCAGCTCTCTCGGCAGCAGAAGTGGGGCTGGAGCGGGTGGGGGTGGATGCCGATTGAGGGAGAGCGTCTCCAGCTGCGCCCTGTGGCAGCTGCGCCCTGTGGCAGCTAGTCGAGGGACTTGGTAGTTGTGACCCCCCTGAGTGAGGACAGGAGAGAGAGAGCGTTTTGTGGTGTTGGTGTACGCAATAACGGGACAGGGTGGTTGTTCTCTCTATCTCCTCTTCTAGCTCTTAGCATGAGCTGCGCCCGGTGTCCGACCCCTTTTGCGCAGCAACACCTTAAACTTTCAGGCCCTCCATCCAAATAAATTCGGGTCGGAGCGTAGCGGAGTGGGCCCCGAGTTTGAAAAGGGCGACGGACGCTTGCGTCCTAGCCTCCAACAACGCCTCCCCGGCGCAGAGGGGCCCCCGGAGGGATGCACAACCGCTCCACGCCACGCCGCTTGCGGCGGTCCTCTTCCCAGCTCCGCTGAGGGCCCGTGCGTTATTTCACCATGCACGGTCAGCAAGCACCCTCCTCCGTCGGCTCGCCGCGCTCCAGGGCCACGTCTGTCGACGGAGAAGCGGCGTCGTCGTCGTCGAATCCACCGCTGTTCGGCGAGGGCACCGCCTCTGTTCACGCTCACTACGCCTTTGGAGACACGCTCGGCACGGGCAATTTTGCAAAGGTGATCCGAGCGACGTGCAGGTGCGCGACGCCGCATTGCCGGCTGGCGGCCGGCGACACCGTTGCCATCAAGGTGGTGAGGAAGCCGCTCTCGCGCTCAGCCGAGCGTCGCGACATGATTCGCGCCGAGGTCGAGATCCTGCGCTCGGTCCAGCATCCAAACATCGTCCGTCTCTTCGAGGTGCGCTCTCGCGCGGAGAGCTTCGACGCCTCGCCAGGGCCACCCGTCGTTCCCACGCCCGTCCGCAGATCTTTGAGAGCGAGGTGAAGGTCTACCTCGTAATGGAGGAAGTCACCGGCGGCGAGCTCTTTGACCGGATCGTGCAGCTCGGCAGGTACACCGAGGAGGACGCGCGGTACTTCACCTTCAAGCTTCTCAACGCCGTCCTCTACCTGCACGACCGGAAGATCGTGCACCGCGACCTCAAGCCCGAGAACATCCTCCTCGCCTCCGACGCGCCCGGCGCAGAGCTCAAGCTGACCGACTTTGGCCTCTCGCGGATCGTCGCGCTCGCGCCCGACGGCCTGAGGAAGACGCTGCGCTGCGGCACGCCGGGGTACGTCGCTCCCGAGGTGCTGTCGCGCGAGACGAGCCGCGCCGCGCTGTCGCAGTACTCGACCGCCTGCGACCTCTGGTCCGTCGGCGTCGTCGTCTACATCCTCCTCTCCGCCTCGCCGCCCTTCTTCGGCCAGACGGACGCAGAGATGAACGCGCGCGTGCGAGCCGGCTCGTACCGCTTCCCGCACAAGTACTGGGAGGGCATCTCCTCCTCCGCGCGCGACTTTCTCGGCCGCCTCCTCGCCGTCGACCCGGCGCGCCGCATGACCGCAGCAGAGGCGCTGCAGCACGACTGGGTCGTCTCGATCGGCGTCCACACCGACGACCTCTTCGCAGCGGGAGGAGTGGCGAGGGAGGGCGTGCCGGTGATGCAGGCGCGATTCTCAGAGTTCAACGACTCGCGACGCGCGAGCCACGTCGGCACCGGCTTGCCGATGGCGGAGGCGCTCAGAGCCCTCTTCGCTCTCCCCGCCGATGAGGAGGCGCTGCACACGTTCCGCGTCTCGCACCAGAGCCGCACCGGCCACCTCATCCTCACGCCGGCGCACGTCTGCTTCCTCTCCTACGACCAGTCCGCCATGTTCGCCCTGCCACTCATCGAGCTCGAGGCCGTCCGCCACGCCCGGTTCCTGCACTGGTCCCAGGCCTCGGACAACTCGCTCGAGCTCCGCCTCTCCAACGGCCGATCGCTCGTCTTCGACGGCTTCTGGGAGGCGCCGCGGCCCTAGACCAAGCCCGTCGCCTCCCCTCCCGCCGCCTCCCCGCGCTGCCCAGGTGGCTGCGGCTGACGCAGCCATCCCTCCCGTCGCAGCGAGATGGCTGCGTCCAGCTGCTCCTCGCCTGCGGCCGCTTCCTCAAGCACGAGATCACCGTGGAGCCCGCCGCGGAGCCGCCCTCGCCCGCCGCGTCGCCGGACGGCAGGCCGCCGAGCGAAGCGGCTCCGGCGGCGCTCGCCGAAGGAGGGACCTAAGCGTGAAGCCTCGCACGTTTTGGAGCACTTGGAGTGCAATCGGTAGCCTCACATCCACAGGGCCGGGGAGCACTTCGAGTTTTCCGTGTTTTGACCGCGCACCGCGCAAGACTTTTATTGGGTGGCTAAGGGCTCTGCCCGCAAGGCGCCCGCGTCGCCGACGCGGTACCATTGACTAATCCCGGAATTCACACCCACACGACCAAATAGCGAAAATCCGATCCGGCGGTTTTTTCGATTGGACGGACGAAATGATCGCGGAAAAGCGGGACCGCCATCGCGACATCGGGGGTTCACCATATATGCCGAGCCTGCTCGGCCTGCCATGTGCGCGCGCGCCTCGCCCGAGCGCAGCCACCTGCGGACCTGGCCAGCCTGTTCCTGGCTCGTGCCCAGCCTCTCCTTCCGCTGCCGCCGGCCTCGCAGTCCCGCCAGCCATCACGCTGCAGAGAGCCTGCGTAGACGCCACAGACGCCAATTCTGCAGCCCACAGCCCTGGCAACTGAGGGCGAGGGCCAGCAGTATACGACGACGACGGCATCTCACACCCCGCGCTGGCCAGCGCCATCAGCCCCTCACGGCCCGGCCCAACCTCCCTTCGCTAGCGCCATCGCCTCCAGTGCCTCCAAATCAAGCCGTCGCACCTCTCTTCTTCAGCGAATGCAGCGGCAGCACCACGTCAGAGGCCGGGCCGACTGGCGGACCTGCATGCCCAGCCATGCGCCCCCCACTCCCCACCATCTTGGATCGATCAGCTGACAGCTCCACCAGCTCCCACCACCGCGTGTCGTGTCATGAAGCATGATAGATAGACATAGAAAGCATGAACCATCGAAAGGTCTGGTCTCCAAAAAGAGCTCTCGGCCTGCCGCGCGCGCCCGCGCCCCGCCCCTTTTGCGCAGCAACACCTTAAATTTCATGGCCCTCCGAATTCGGGTCGGAGCGCAGCGGAGTGGGCCCCGAGTTTGAAAAGGGCGACGGACGCTTGCGTCCTAGCCTCCAACAACGCCTCCCCGGCGCAGAGGGGCCCCCAGAGGGATGCTCAACCGCCCCATGCCACGCCGCTTGCGGCGGTCCTATTCCCACCAGCTCGCGGGGCCACTTATTAATTTTCCCCCACTGTCTGCGGAACGAGGCCTGGCAAGGCGCAAGCGCTCACTCGCCTCCTCCGCGGCCATGCCCTCCGCCCGGGCGGAGCGAGCAACACAAGAGTGGAGGCGGATCACCATACTAACCCGCTGAATTCTTTTCTTTTTCCCGCTGTACCTAGTGTGCCAGTGGGTTGCGCCCTGCCAGTCCTGTGGGCTGTGCCCAGTGTTGGCTGTTGCGCGTCAGCCCGGTAAAATTGTTTTTCACCTTGTATGTAAAATTCTCGTCGCCGCAATTCTTTTTGTATACAATTTTGTTTTGTTTTGTTTTGTTTCGTCGCTGGCGGGTGGTTGGTGGCTGGGCTTAGTTGTTTGCCACACACACGCACCCCTTTGGGGTCACAGCCCCCCCCACGATTTCTTTTCCTTGTTCTTTCCGGTTCTTGTTTTTAAAACCCCGCTTCTCTCTTATATGTTCTATTCGCGCGAAAATTCTTTTTTCGTGCACTGTTTCGCGGGCGCTTACACTGCCTTTCACCGACGGTGGCGAAGAGGGCTGGCAGCATCGCCCTCCTGCCTGACACGCACGCCGCACGCACGCACGCTGCGCAGCCGCCGCCCCCAGCCGCGATGGAGAACATGGCCGTCGAGAACGTTAACAACATCGTCGGCACGTTGAAGCGTCGGCAGGTAGAAATGTTCTCGGACGAGCACATGGACGAGCACATCAACAAGCGCCTTGCGACAGCCGCCGATGCGCTGCAACAACGGCGGCACTGGCTCGAGTCTGCGAGCAGCGAAGACCTGGATGCGTGGCGGCAGCGCGGCGATCGCGCCGCGCTCTGCCGGCTCGCTTCAGACGCCGCGGGCGACGCCCACCCGAGCTTTCTTCAGCTCCTGCACGCGCTGCTGCACAGCCGCTCATCTGATGAGGATGCATCGCTGATGGCTCGCGTGGCCAGTGTGCGCGACCGTGCCACGTCGGCTCACGCCGGCGGGCGATTTGTTGCGCTTCACGAGGCAGCCGAGCTAGTCCTCGCTCTTTGGGCATCACGGTAGGTTGCGGGGCCTCGCGAGCACCGGCACGCGCACATGGCTCACAAGCGCCGGGGACGCCCGCAAGGCTGACTGAAGGCAGCGACGTGTCGGCTGACGGCGCGCCGCGTCATGACTCAGCAGTGCATGCGCGGGACCAGCAGGCTACTCCAGGGTACAAAATGTGGGGTGTCGGGGGTAGCCGGTGTAAAAAACGTGTGCAGAGTGAGAGAGGGCCCCCTCCGCGTCTCCTGAAGGCAAGAGAGTGTGCGCGCAGACCGAGCGCGCAGACCGAGATGGCACACACATCGTGCGCCTGTAATAGCTAAAGACTTAGCTAACGAGGTGCCCCCCCCGCACCCGGCGACGCCAACACAACTACACCTCCAGTGTGGACATTCATGTCTTGAACACGACTCGGGGTCGCGTGGCTCAGACACTCAGAGAGAGAGAGCCGGGATGCGGCACGTCGCGCCGATAGCCACTCACGCCGGAGGGATTGGCCCCACCGTGAAGGTCTCGCCCGCGCTGATGCCCTCCGGCACGCTGATGTCGAACTCGCGGCCGTCGGGCAAACGCAGCCGCATCGCGCGCGAAAGAGGCAGCGTCTCCGGGCAAGCAACCTCCACGTGCAGACTCTGCGCCGCCGCCGCGCTGGCTGCCTCTTGCTCCGCCTCCGCCTCCGCCTCCGCCTCCTCCTTCGATTCCACCGCCGCCGCCTCGGCCGCCGCCGCCGCCTCGGCCGCCGCCGCCGCCTCGGCCGCCGCCGCCGCCTCGGCCGCTGCAGCCGCCGCCGCTGCCGCCTCCACCCGCTGCACCTCCTGGGCCGCCTCCGCTCGGACAAGCTCCGCCTCAGCCACCACTTCGGCCGCCGCAGCCGCTGCCGCATCGGCTGCCGCCAGCTTGCGCCTCGCAGATGCAAGCTCTGCCTGTAGCACCGCCGAGGCCTCCAAAGCCTCAGCCGCTGCAGCCGAGGGCGCTGGCGTGGGCGACGCTCGTGGCGCCGCTGGTGGCGGTGGCGATGGCGGTGGCGCTGCCGTCGCCGGTGGCTGCTCAGGAGGTGCGTCGGCGACGCTGGCGGCAGCAGCGGGAGTCGCGTCCGCGTCGGCGTCGCTGCAGAGGTACCCGCGAAGTCTGGTAATTTTGCTGCGCGCCATCTCCTCGTCGCCACGCTTCATGAGCTTTATGAAGTTGCGCCGGTAGTTGTGCGACAGCTTTGAGTACAGCTCTTCGGTCATGCCCCACTCCACCAGCGGCTCAGGGATCCGACGTTTCTCAGGCGCTTCGGACGCCCGGATGTGGGAGGATGGTACTGCGTGGCGTGCGCGAACCGACAGGCGGACGACGTGGCCGGCCGACGCCAGCAGCACGCCAGAAAGCGCCACCACGAACATGAATCTCCTCTGCTGTTGCCGGTCACTCCTCGCTGCTCGGTGTGAATGCGCGCGGCCATCTAGGCCCGCGGGTAGTCTCCCCCCATCCCCAGGGCCTCCAGGGCTCGCACCTCAACCTCTCACAGACCAGCGCACAGCGCCATACGACGTATTTTCTTCTCAATAACAAGGCTGTGAACAGAGTTCGTACACCGAGCAGCTGGGAGCAACTCGAGATCCCTCGAGAGTTCACGCGGAGTAGGCTGGGGCTCTACGGGACAGTCAGTCGAATCTCGGGCTCCACTTCCGAAAAATGAATTTGCGACAGCACCGAAGCTGGGTGTGTATAGTGTAAGGAGTAAGCAGCGCGCGCCCGTCGAGCGTCGTCTAGTGGGCCCGGTGTTTTGCGAAAAAAGAATCTAAATTTTTTTTCCTCCTTCAGTATCTTCCCCGGTTGTACGGCTGATAGCCATAGGCCGGCGCCGCGCTTGGTGCCCCATAGCCGGCGTGGGCCGCGCCGCTTGCGCCACACCCAGGCTTTGGAACACCGTATGGCTGTCGCTGCCCACCGTACCCGCCGCCGTAGCCGCCTCCGAGGTGCCCGTTCGCGCTCGAGGAGTCTCTGTATGCAGCAGTCGGTGCGCCGTACGGTGGCCTCGGGGGCGCATAGCCGTTGTAGCTGCCCGAGCCGCTGCCACGACCCCCGGCGCCCGGCGGCTGGTACCCTGCGTACTTTGGCGGGGCCGCCGCGACCCTGCCTCCGTTGTAGGCCCCGCTCCCGTAGCTCCCGCCACCGCCGTAGCCGCCGCCTCCCGTGCTGCTATATCCGCCGCTGCTTCCGTAGCTCCCCGGCCCGCCTCCGCCTCCATACCCCGTAGACGCGCCACCGTAGCCATAGGCACTCGAGGCAGCTCCGCCACAGCCGCTGCCGCCGCCACCATACCCGCTGCCCCCGCCACCGCCGCATCCGCCATGGCACCCCCCGCCGTATCCGCTGCTGCCGTACGCGGGTGCCTGCTTGCCTGCATTGCTGCTGTAGTGAGACCCACCACCGCCGTAGCCACCGCCGTACTGTGACGCGGGTGGGGCGCCGTAGCCACTCGGTGCTACGCCCGGCGGCTTATACCGCGCCTGCTGCGCTAGCCTGCTGGGCGGGTTGGAGCCGCTGCCGCTGCCGCTGCCGCTGCCCGCGGCAGCGTGCGACAAGCCGCTCGCCTTCTTGGGCGGCGCCGACATGCCGCCCTTGAAGTCGCCCGGCTCCTTTTCGCCGTCGTACGTGACGCGCGTGGCTCCGACACGGATGTCCTGCTTCCGGCTCGCCTCGTGCGTGTCGGGTCGTGAGGCGTGGCCCGAGCTGCCAGGGCCGAGGGGCAACTCGGGTTGCTGTCCGGCGAGGAAAAAGGGGTGGCCGAGCGCCTGGGCAGCCGTCGGGCGCTTCGCCGGGTCCCAACGCATCATCTCCGTCATCAAATCGATAGCTTCCGCTGACGCGGATGGCACGAGCTGGGACAGCGGCGTCGACACAAACTGCGGGAATTTGAAGTTCATGCTGTGCGCGAGCGCGAGGCCTTGCTTCCAAGAGTTCGCAGTCGGTGTGCCGAGAACCGAGCAGATCTTGTAGATCTCATCCGCTTCAGAGGTTCCCGGAAACAACGGCCGCAGCGTAAACATCTCGGCCATGATGGTCCCGATGGCCCACACGTCGATCGGCGCCGTGTACTGAGGCGCTCGCAGCAGCACCTCGGGAGCCCGGTACCAGCGGGTAGAGACGTAGTCAGTGTAGGGCGGCTTGGACCGGATCTCGCGCGCGAGGCCAAAGTCGGCCATCTTAAGCGTGTTGCCCGACACCAGCATGTTCTCGGGCTTGATGTCGCGATGGAAGAAACCGTGCTTGTGCATGTACGCGAGCGCCTGCAACATCTGGTACGTCATGTTGCGCACCTTGGACTCAGACATGAGCTTCTCGCGGTCCTTGCACAGCTGATAGAGGTTCATGTCAAGGAACTCAAACACAAAGTAGAGGATATCGTTCTCGCGGATCACCTCTTTCAGCTTGACGATGTTGGGGTGGGACATCTTGCGCAGCGACTGCACCTCTCGCAGCTGCATACACTCCTCCCAGGAGTAGAACTTCTTCTTCATTCGCTTGATGGCGACCACCTCGCCAGAGGCACGGTTGACTGCCTTGACGACGGAACCGTACGTGCCATCTCCAAGCGGCTTGATGGTCTTGTATCTGTTCATGGCCCGGCACAGAACGCCGCGCCTGCGCAGCGCCGCCAGGAGGCAGCCTCAGGTGCGCCCACCGCCCATCAAAGGGCTCGCGCGCTGGCCGTGTGTGTGGACGGGCGTGGCACGCACCCTCGTCGGCTTCGACTCTGCCGATGCGCAGGGCGCGCGCGCGCCAGAGGCAGGGAACGGCTGCTCAGTCTGGCGCCTGTGACGACGGACTGAGGCGTTATCTGTAACAGATTTGCGATACATATGGCGGAGGACGCGGTCGTGACCGCCCTCGACGGGAGCGCGGCCTTCTTGATGATGGACGACATTCTGGAGCGGCTCAAAATGCTCGACTACGAGCTCGCCTTCCGCGGCTTCACCCGCCTCACCCACACCTACTTTGCCATGCCCGCGCCAAACCCGAACGAGCAGTTCCACTATTTCATGGCGCTCTGCTCATGGCTGATGGGACTACTCGGGTCCGCGTGGCAGGCGCCGAGCCAGTCGGATGATCCGAACCTCGCCGCACAGTCGCTCCACTCGCAGCTGCAGCAGGTGGGCGCCCCACTCTCCTTTGGCGGCTGGCAGAAGCTAAAGCAGGGGCACGGCGAGCCCTGCTGCGTCATCCTGCAGTGGCTTCTGCAGCAGGCGAGCGGCCAAGCCCAACGACCGCATGCGCGTTTGGTAGTCCCGACGCCCTGGCCCGCTGCGACAGATCCCGATCGAGTTCAAGCCAGCCCTGCACGCAGAAGAGGCGGAGTATGAGGATGCTGCGGTGGCAGAGGACGAGGCTGACGGCGCACATGATATGGCCGATGAGGCGCGGAAGGAGCAACCAGACCAAGCCCGCGCCGTTCATAACAAATCCTCGCCACCGCACAGGTTGGCGACGCCGAGAACGAGGAGGAGGAATACTACCACGGTGGTGGTGACGAGGCGGGACCTTCGGCTGGCCGGCAGGGCAAGCTGACAGACAACATCCTTGAGGCGCAGGTTGAGCCAGAGGCTTGGAGAGTTGAGCTCGAGCGGGTAGCGCCGCAGCTCAAGATGCAGGTACGCCTACTCCCTTTATCCTCTCCACGTGCTGTCCTCTCCAGACGCCTTGGGCTTGCGCGTGAGTAGGTGCTATCGGACCCCAAGGAGTGGCGCAACCGGCTAGTCAACACAAAGTCGCACCAGGCGAAGCTGCAGGCGCTCGCGCCGGAGACGGCCGCGACGCTCGAGCGGCTTGCGGAGGATCTCGCGCGGACTTTGCAGGCCATTCAAAACGCCGAGCAGAAGGTCAACACCCAATGCGCCGACGCGGTCGCGCGCTATGCAGAGAGAAAGGATGAGCTGAGGGCTCGCATGGAGGAGTACAACAAGAATGCTGACACGATCAACGCGCTGACCAGTGATCTTCAGTCCGTCTCGGAGGATCTCGCCAAAGTGAAGGCGCAGATGGACACCCGAGGTGCGTCGATGACGGACACAAAGCCGCTGCTCAAGGTGAAGACGGCCCTTACGCAGCTGCGCACCGAGACAAAACAGCTCGAGATTCGCATCGGCGTGCTCACTTCGACGCTGACCTCGAAGAAGCTCAAGGAGGCGAGCATACCGAGGAACTCAGAGGTTTCCAAGCGCGGCGCAGATTGCGAAGCGTTCCTTGACGACGACGATATGGAGCAGCTCTAAGGACACAGTCTCTCACATTGTGGACCGGAACATATTGTGAATCTGAAATAGAGCTCATCTCAGAGCACGTGAGGCCGGACGCTCTCTCTCGAGTGTGCGCATGGTGTGCAGGATCTTGTTCCTCGCCCTGCAAAAAATACACATGTACATGTACATGTCATGTTGTGCATGCACACAAGTCACCCCGAACGACTGCGACTGGACAGCCTATGGCGCGCACATTAGGTGCGAGGGTTCGAGTGTGCACAGAGAGTCAGTAAAAAAGGCCGTTGCGCGTTGCATGGCGCGTTGGCAGATGGTACATGGTAGTAAAAGGCGGGGCGTGTGGGGCGACACACACACGCTCACGGGCACGGGGCGAAACGTCTAGCACAGACCAAAAAGGTGAATGAGAAATTAGTATAGGTGGTTTTGTGGGTGAGTTCTACGGCCTCTCTCTTTGTTGCCTCGCTCGTCGCGTCAGAAGGAAACGACCCCCCGTAGGTGGGGGAGCGTGCCCCCTTTACCCTCCCGAGTCGCGAGGAATTCGATGTGTCGCTTGAACTTTGTCGTGTCAAGTCCGTTCGCATGCTCCGTCTTCGTGACGTCGACCAACTCGCCGAAGGTGAAGTGGGCCGTCGCCGGCACGGGCATCGGCAGCTTCCACGCGGCGGCAATCCGCAGCTTTGGGACCGTCGCCAGCGAGTAAGCGTCGGTGATGGCGGCGACACCGCGCGCGAGCGAGAACACTCCGTGCATGATGGGCTTTGGGAGGCCCATCGCCTTGCAGTAGATCGGGAGGTGGATCGGATTCATGTCTCCTGAGCACGCCGCGTACTTTTTCGAGTGATCGCGCTTGATCTCCTCGACAAACTGCTTGGGCGCCGAGGCGGTGGGCCCCAGATTGGTCTTGGCAGCCTGCTCCGCCGCCGTCAGCTCCGGCCGGCGCTTCCTCGCGGCGCGCGCCTTCTTCGCGTCGGTGGAGGTGAAGGTCATCGTGGTGCTCACCAGCAAGCGGCTGTTCAGCGGCGAGGAGACCTCGATGAGCACGTCGCACTCGGCGCCGATCTCGTTGAGGCGCGAGCCGGTGACGGAGATGCTGTAGTTGTACACGCCGAGCACAGAGGCGTCGATGCACTCGAACTGCTCGATGACGTGCTTGGCGTGGACGACTCCCATGACCGAGAGCGGAAAGTCCGGCGAGGCGACAACGTGGCGGATCAGCGCCGACATCGTCAGCGGCAAGGAGACGTAGACGGCCGAGATGTGCTTTTCGATGTCAGGCGAGTGGCAGAATGCCGCCCACTTGCGGGCGAGCGGCAGGTTGAGCACCACCTCCTTGCCTTCGTGGCGCGTGCGCGCGGCGAGGACCTTGGAGCTGAACGGCGGGTAGAGGGTGCCGGAGGATTTGGTGAACACGGACGCCAGAATGTCGAGGGGGGAGAGGCCGATCATCGTGCTAAAGAGAAGGAGGATGGCCACGGCGACTGTGATCACGAGTACGATGAGGATCGCGAGCATGCTGCCGCGCAGCCTTCTAGCCTTTCGGCGTCGGCGAGCGTACAGAAAAAGAATCTGTTTGCTGACAGAAGAAACTACGAGTTTGTTGTGTGTTGTGTGTTGTGGTGGTGTGCGGTGTGCGGGGTGTGTGTGTGTTGTGCATTGTGTGTTGCGTGTTGTGCGGTTTGGAAATAACTTCTCGACTGGTTCAAGGGTGGGCGACGGCTAGCGCACCACGCCCCTCTCCTTAAAATCCCTGTGTGGTGGCGGCGTGCCGTTCTCCCATCCCTCCCTTGGGTTCTCTGTTTTCTTTCTTTCTTTCTTTCAAGTGTGTGCACTCACTCACACTCATTCACGTACGTCGTGTGCGTGTCTGGTGTTTCTTAGCTCCGAGTAGAGGGGGCGTTCCGCCGCTAGGGGACACCCCGCAAAGCGCAGAACCAACCCTCGGAGAACCGATTGTTTATCCTTTACGGCCCTTTCCCTGCGAACGCGCACCCCCCAGGGCTAGGGCTCTCTCGCCCGTAACCCGATATCGATCATCCGGCTCGCTGGGTGCGCTTCTTAGCTCCCCGGCCCTGGATGTGAGGCTGCCGACTGCACTCCAAGACTCCAAGTGCTCAAGTGCACATTTGGTGCTATTAAAGAAGTCCGTGGTAGTACGGTGGTAGAACACTAACCGCAGGCCACTATTTCAAAAATTATCACGTTTGGCGTTGGGGTGCGGGGGACGATGTGATCGATGACGATGACATGTACGTCAGAGTCGGCGGCCGGGACACCCCACCCCCCAACTGTTCCCTTGACGAACGGCGAGGCGCGAGGGCGTGTCTCTCGTGACACGGCGGTGGATGGTTCATGAACAATACGCGCTCCGCCAACCACTCAGCGCGCGAAGTAATACTCGGCGTGTCCGATCTTGCTGAGCTGGTCGTAGTAGACGCCCCGGCGCCCATCTGGCGTGACCACATTCTGCAAGTAGTAGAGGTGCTTCATCTCTCCGCCGCAGCAGAGCGGGCAGATGGCCTGCCGCCGGTTCCAGTTCGAGCCGTCGGGGCCGTGGCCTTCTGGCTCCTGTGTCACGACGGGACGGAAGGGGATGGCGAGTGCGAGCGTGTGAGAGGTGCGGGTGGAGCGTCTCCTGCACGCACACCTGCACCATGTCGCACGCGATGCAACATTCGGGCACCTTAAAAAACGGCGGCAGGCAGGGGATGCAGATGCAAAAGTTTAACTTGACGCTGATCGTGGCCTTGAGATAGTCCTCCGTGAACTGGAAGCCGTCTGCGGCGGTGCGGGCGGGTGCCGAGGGAGGGTCGGAAGAGGGGGGGGCGGTGGAGGGCCAAAACGCACGCACAGCTCTGGTTGCAGCAGCGGTTGAAAAAGGGACCAACTCCGTTCTCGAAGAAGTTGTTCCCGCCCGACCACTGCGCCGCGCTGTACAAGCCGCCGTATCCGCCGTAAGTCTTGATCAGGCCGGACTTTGTTTCCGCGTCAAATTCCATCCAGCGCTTGGTGAGGACCGTCCCGGTGATGCCGCCCTCCCCTTCGATCATCACCCCGGCCAGCATCTTGGGGAGTTGGGGCGACGCCAGAGTGAGAGGGGAGAGGCGGTACCAGATTGGGAGGGGTGAGGGGGGTGCGCCTTGATCTCCTCGGTGTCCTTGATGCCGTTTGGCACCCGCGGGTAGGCGTCGTCACAAAAGCAGAGCGCCTTGCCGCAGGCGGAGGGCGGCACGTGTGCGCGCGTGTCTGTGAGCATCCACTCGTTCAGCGCATGCAGGGGTCCGTCCCCGTCCGGTGCAGCGGGCAACGGCAGAGCGCTTACACACCAGCATCGCTCGGGGCAGCAGTTGAGGTCATGCCCACCT